TTGGAATTTTACTTCTATGTTAACAGAGCTGCACATAGATAAAATAGGAGTTCACTGCCTGATAAGGACTGGCACGTACCCAGTGTCATTGCACAGCATCTATAGTGAACTATCTCAGTCCATCCCAGATGTGCAGCAGGGATCAGTCAATTATTTTTGCTTTAATTCAGTTAAGCACACGGTTTGGCTAAACTTAGCTTTACTGCATATGATGTCAGAACATAAATTTAGGAAGTTCTTATGCTATAAATGCATTATATCTATACCTAAGAACATATGAATAATGGTACTTATTAACTTCTTAATAATAAAGATAATTTTAAAATCACAGCAAAGAGCCTCAGATTAGAAAAATATTCAGAAATATAAAAAAAAAAAATCGTGAATGCCTCAGGGGTTGAGACAGAAGTAAAATAAGGCCATAGTAGTTTTGCTTGTCATTTAAACTTAACTTGACCAAGGCAAAGTTCTTCAAAACACTAAAAGTAAAATGCCTCTCTTCTGACATCTCTACATCTGCAATCATTTAAAGAGAAAATTAGAAATCTATATTGGATTCTATTATGTAAAGGAAAGAAAATATAGGTAAGTAACATTTCCAATTCATATAAAGCAGCAAAATTCTCCATAACGTGTGTTCTGGTATTATGTTGGTTGCTTCCAAAAATGTCACCAAAAAAGAATGAATGGTCAATTAAAATAACAAAAGAGTAGATGTATGCAACTCCCTTTTAATGCCGTTTAATATACTACTTCAAATCTTTCAATTCACCTCCCATTTCTAAGAAAGACACATTACTACACCAGGAATGAGAGTGTTACTTAAACTGGACAGAATCCCTTTCTGATTTCTATTGCCAATAAGCTCATGCCATGACTCGTGTATTTTTGTCTATAAAGACAAAAGCTTTTAAAAAACAAAAAAGTGCTGGTGCAAAGCCCCCCAGAGCAATCTTGTAGTCCTGTCTGAATAATCAAAGACAGACAATAGATAACCTTATGGGCTCACTGTAAAGGTTTAAACTCCACAGGCTTCATAAGACTTGCCTCCAGAGATGTTTTGAAAATAACTTTTTTCTGCTGATAACTTAACTTCTGATATTTTTTTTCACCAGCTTGCTGATAATGTTACCCATGATATCACTTTATTTTCATAGATTTCATCTTGCTAAGAGATTGAAAAAAATACTTCATTTACACAGACAATTAAGAGACCCATATTTAGCCATGGATGTTAATTTTCTTTTTACCTGTCAATGAGAGAACTTCAGGAATGCTTCTGATTGGAAAATATTGGCAGGCTTTCATTTAAAGTTTGATTTGTGAAAGCTTGTATAAGCTTGTACCCTACAGAGGTGTGAAAAGTCTATAACCGATGTAATGGCTATAGATTGACATTTTCTTTAGATTTGTGCTTGTGAAAGAAACAGTGCTGACTACAAAAATGTTCTGAACAGATGTTTGTAACTGAACTGACATTGGTATTACTACAGTTTAAAATACAGTACGTCTTTGAACATTTTCAAGTAAGTATATTATTCAGGAGCCAGAATTTATAGACAATATTTATGACAAACTTACAATGAGGGCATTTATAGTACTGCATGTTTCAGTATAGCTCAGTGAGTTCATAGTTCAGTAAGGCATGGATAAACCTGCTTTTCTGAACTGAATGAATTCTCTGTTTGCCTTTTAATAATTTCTTCCTAGTTAAATAAGCAGAACAAACTGTGAATGAATAATAAAGAGATAGGACTGTCTTTAGTAAAGGAGCTGCAACTTGCCCTCAACCAAAAACAATATTTAGAATCAATTTTCTATTTTTCTTCATGTTGTGAACATTCATACAAACCTTCAAATAAACCATTTAGTTCTTCAAGGGGTATTCAGAAAAAACTTTGGAAGTAACTGCAACAGTCATTCCCAATTTCACTGTCTAAACAAGAATTGCAGTCTACATGTTCCTGAGGCAGAGGTCCTTTACTAAAAATCTACTGTGGAACAAGAGAGGAAATGTGATCTAATGGGTGTATTTTGGACACCCTGGTTCAGAGTCATGCTCCTTTACAGCCTCTCTCTGTGACACTGCAACGTGACTCCATCCCAGTTTGAGGAAGAAACTGTACAAGATTAGTGGGTATATTCCCAACTTTCAATTTCTAAACTACTTCGGTTTACAAACCCATTGGTATCTACAAATAACAGATCAAAAGTTTAGATACCAAGCAAAATAAGGATGGTATTCTGAAGCATTCAAGTGAAGTTAACAATTGCCATCATATTAATCAGGGGAGAAAGCAGTGAGAAACACTGATGATGATGAGATGAGACAAGCTAAGGAGATAAGAATTTGAAATCTTATATTTTTCCTAGATCTGGGTTCTCATTGACTAACACAAATTGCACACCTTGGATACTTGATATACTTGGATACTTGAATACCTGGATTCACAGCCTGGATTTAGCCAAACCTGTCAGGAGATGCCTACGTAAGGATAAGTGTCAGACTTAATGCTGGAGTTCCCCATAGCTTGTTCTTGTGAACCCTACTAAAGAACATACCAAAGAGAACCAACAGTACCAGTAGTGTTGATCTTTAATATTTTAAGCAGATATGCGTGCTTTCTTGCTTTTTTATTTTATCAGAAAATTTTTACATGGACTCAGTGCAAATGATGCATATGACACACATTTTCAGAAATGACCATGGAGGGAATAAAAAACAAATGTTATTTCAAATACATATGTTTGATATGAAATAGAAATAGGTTTGAAATATAAGTCAAAAATCTGAAGCCATTAAAGACTTGGAATTATAGTCAATTTCTAATTTGATTTTAAGGTTAGGTTAACATCTCTCACTTTAAGATGGGTTAAGCCCTACAGATAGATTGTCAAGAAACATGTTTATCATCTTTAAAAGAGACACATAAAGTGACTTCCATCATTCATTTGAGGCTTTGTACAGTCTATAATACTTTTTCATAAATACATTGTGAGCTGTCACTATTCCAAAATGATTGTGACCCCCCCACCCCCCCCCTTGTGAATGTCCCTGCAACCACAACTACAGACTACAGACAGTATAGTCAAGGATGTATCAACATACATTTCCAAGAGAGAAGTGGAACCTTGAAAACAAGAAAGCGAATCACAGCTTTCTTAAGAGTTTTTGAAATTGTGTTTGTAACATTTCCCAAGTCTTCAGTGCCTTGAAGCCCAATCCAAAGTCCAATGAACTCAACATAGGAAGTGAAACTGATTTTTACAAGGCTTTGGATCAGACTTTAGCTACATCTCTTCTTAGTTGTTCTTTTTAACAAATACCTATTCACAGCTTCATAAAAGGTACTGATTTGACCTCATGGCTTAGCAGAAGCTAAAAGCTGGAGAAAAAAATATCATTCTTCTATGCATGCAATGAAGTATCTAAATATATAATAAAAGTGTAAACTTATCTGTAGTGCATCTCCCTTCAATATAGTGCAACATTGTACAACTGCTATTAAATTGCCATCTAGCTATTTTCCCCGTGACATTCTATTACAGATTTGCCTATAACCCTAGATGTGTAAAATTAGGGATTATTGAGGTCTTATACTGTATGGTATTTGCTGCTTTTATCTGAATTCGTCCTTCTCAGGTAGCCATATAGCAGATAAACAATTCATTGCTCCTTCTAGCAAATAACTAGATGTTCTCACACTTTTTGTATGCCCTGGACCATATTAAGATCTTCAAGAATAATCTTATGAGTCTGTAGCATAACAGCCTACAAAGGCTCAAATCAGAAAAGAAACAAAAACAGGCTGATGAACAGATTTACCAGACATATTAGACCTCAGTCCACGTTCAGATCTAGTGTGTAAATGCATTTAAAGGAGAATAAAGTGATGTGAATTACGTAATCTCTCACTCTCTCAACTAATAAATTACTACCCCATTAAAACTTTAGAACTGGTAAGGAAATATTACCTACATCCTCCCCTTTCGGATCCTTGCTTATCACATTTATTTTAAATCACAGCAAATAAAGTGAGATAAAATGATATAGAAACAAGTTTACATATAATTCTACTCTAACCCTACCCTTTCTTTTGAAACTCAGCTTCTTTTCACTCTTTGAAATAATTGCACACTGTAAAACTTGTGTTAACAACTGTAAAGGTTACATAATTCTCATGGTTCCCAGTCAGTTTCCAACGAGAACATATATTATGATTTCAGAGTTAAGATTTTTTTTCACTGTTCAGGAAAAATGATAAGCATTGTAAAGAAAGCAAATATTTTAACACTATGAGCTACCTCTAAGTAAAAGCTAAGTCAATAATTCTGTTTCCCACCTCCCCCACCCCGTAAACTCACTTTATTACTCCAAAAAATATAAATGCCAACTTCCAATGAAACGTTCATAGTTCTGCACTTTAGTTTGTGCACACAAATAAAATCCTCTTATCATTTTCTTTCAAGGGTGATTTATCAGACTATGTGTATACTACAAGAACTTTGCCAGTATAGACAAGTAGAACTTTATCCCATGCCAGCAAAAACTTATGTGGGAGCTGCATAATATGACCCACCTTAAGTTTTCTCCACTCCTCTGTGAAACTACTTATGTTGACAAAACAACTTTTAATCTGCATATCTAAGTTAATTACTGATTACAATTGTTCATAACCTCTAGCAAAATATACTTGCTGAAGTCTGTAATATGGGCGTATTTCAGCTTTTACAGCATAGCTATAGCATTTATTTTGTGTTCCTCTTCAAAACTAGAAAAGAAAAGCAGCCTCACACCCATACCAAAACACGGAAAAGTCTTGCCAACAATCGGTCTGGAGCTTGTACAACTAGCATCAGGTTAATGGGTGACTGATCCTTAGCTCCTGCTCAAATAGTTGTCGGTAGTATGTATCAAAAGTTAGTTATGTGAGTGTCAACATAAAAGTATCAGTTCCTTGCATCTTATAAGGCTCTAACTTTAGAAAGCATTATCTTACCCATGAAAGCCTCATGAAGGCAGGGAAGAATTAATAAACCTTCACCTGAGTGACTCTTCTGTTAGAAAAGTAGAACTCCAGCTCAGAACTAACAGCTTATATGAGTTTTGTAGACTCTGTAGCCTTGAGAACCGAGAATTGCTCATCACCTGGCTCTCCTTTTTGGTCTTGTAAAATACGAAAGTGCAGACAAAATATCAGATAACGAAGACCCTCCCTCATAAGTAAAGCTGAAATAGCAACCATCTGTAACCAACATGACATACAAAATGGATGCCAGTCCTAACCCCAGTGTTTCTATTGGTTATGCTTTGATCAATACCAACGTTCATATAAAAAAAAAAATAAAGTGCTACAAGCACAGCTGGAATAGTTGCAATAACTGGGGGGGGGGGGGGGGGGCAATTTTAGAAAAAAATAAAAGTGGAAAAACAAGATCTGTGGTAAAACTGATTCAGCTTTTGTTCGGTGGTAAAACCAAAACATTTTAGTTCCGTTTGGTCTGTTTAACATTTACAGCCAGTTTAAAAGATAATGCTATCAGAACTGATTTCTTTTCAAGTCTAGAAAATAAAATATTTAATGTATTTAATGTATTGAAATTAGATCTTTTAAATTTTTCAGATTCTTCTGAATAAACAGTATGTTGAAACTAACAAATCCAAAACGTGTTTGAGTCTGAGTCACTAACTGCATTTTCCACCCCAAAAAAAATAAATCAGTACTTTGGCTAAGATGTTTCAATTCAGTCGATTTACAAGTTTTATCTTCCTGAACTCAAAAAAACTCAGCTATCAGATCGTACATCTCTACAAAATATCTTTTCCATGATAAGTCCTATATATGTTCAGATTTTTTTTTTTCCTGAGCAGTCTTATAATCTTAATGCTCGAATGCATCTGTGACCTACCTGAGTCACTAGATGAGAAGTGCTGAATATTCACAGGAATACAGGGTATTCCAGCAAAAATTCAACCCACTGGTTCCTTCCTTTTCCTTAGGCACATATTTTAGAAGCTTTAAGGCATAGTTGCCATTAGAAGCCATTGTTATACTTGGTTAGTTTCTAGCATCCTGGTCAGTTTTGCTATGGTGTATTTTTATCCAGCCAGCAAATCCATGACTCATTACAGTAATAATGCTTCCTATTTTAAGATTGAAGAAAAGAATACTAATAAAGTTCAACTTTATTTATTCAACAATACTAATAAGTTCAAAAGCTCAATTATATTTATTTTAATTATTTTCTGAAACAAAAATAAGTACTTCAAAGCCACACATTTCACTTGCAATTATGATGTCTCATTTAAATAACAGAAAGTAGTTCAATTTTAAAGGTTTGTGCTCTAAGACATGAAGTAATTCAACTACCATTTCCCAGGCTTATTACTGCCCTGACATTTAGGGCCTTTTCTACCCACTCTACTTGTTGCTGACTCTGCTGCTCTATTTGTATTCTTTTGCAACTGGTATTAATGCTTCAAGAAGGATGAGGAATACAGCCCTCCCCTGATTAGTGCAGGCAGGAACATGCTTGAGGAATTCCTGGATTCTAGTATGAATCCTAAAATATTAAGGAAAGCCAAAAATTAGTTATTGAATTATTACCACTGCCTGTGTATCAACAGTAACTCTCATGCTGCAGGAAAAAGAATAAATACTGAAAGCAACTTCAAAAAGGTTATAAGGATGTTTTTGTTGTGGTGGTGTTTTGTTTTAATAATTCTGGCTATTTACTGTGTCAAAAGGAGAGACAAGAAGAAGTTTAAAAAGTATGTCTATCAGACTGAGTCTTAGCACTACCAAAAAGAATTTGAGGTGTGTTAGCATCTGGATGTCAACAAAGCTAAGACAAACTTTGGAACTTTATATATAGCTTTATAGGAATTAAATAGATTTGCACACACAAAAAAATAATTTTAAAATTTAGTGCTTTTATTTATCAGAGTCAGGTGTTTTGGGATCATAGTTTTGAATAAAGATCACAGTCTCTCTCCAGGCATGTAATACTTCATCTATGTTAACCCTGAGACCTCCTGTGCTGAAATCTAATCAGCTTCATGCACTCCTGCAACCCAGCTTCACTTATCCACACTGTGACCAGTACCAACCATGGACACTCATGGGGACCACCCATCAAAGCCTACCTCAGAGCAATCAAAATTTGCTCATGGTCCTGATATTGATAATACAAAAGTATTATTTATAGGTGCTAACATAACAGTCTGACCCAGATCAAGAAGCCTTAAGGCCAGTGGATTTGACACTGAAATATTTCTTTAAAATGTTGTTTTAAAGTAGCACAAGCCATTTCCTGGTTTAATTCCAGATTTTATGAATATAGAACAGAACCTAAATGACAAAATCTTAGCTGAAGCATAGCTGAGTTTTTCCTCAATGAAAATTGAGTAAGACTGAGCATTGTGAGCAGAAACAAGTGGCACAGGAAATAAGATATGCCATAATAAATTAGATCACCAGTCTTTCTGATCTATTCTTCAGTACTAGTACTATGAGTAGAGAAATGCCCAGATGTATTAGAAGTTTGAAGGGATTCTCTCCTTGAAGGGATCCAAGCCCACTGTACATGAATGAAAGCTATGTATAGTTTCTTGTCTCTGTAGGCAGTCTTCCTGTATCCTAGAACATGATTAACTTCTGTCCAACTCTATCATCAGATCCTTTAATGATGCTCCAAAAGTATTGGAAAACAGTCAAGAAGCTATATAAAGCAGAGATAGGAAGAGAATAATTTTAATTATATTTTTTATTTTCATTATTCTGCATTTTTTTTCCCTTAGATGAGAAGACATTGCTTGGTCAACCATGTCTGAAGTAGGTTAGCTCTTTGATTACACAGAAGCGTGATAGGATTAAAATTAGGATTAGTATATTATTATTCACAAAGCATAAATCCCTCTTATCACTACAATTTGGAAAAAAAAAAAAAAAAAAAGCTTGCACTCCCTGTTAATGCCTGTGTTCTTTTGTGCATTTTCCTAAAGTAGAATTTGGACATCAGAAAACAATGGTTTTAAGAAGTGTATAGATTTTGTGTTATTCTCTCCCCCCCTCACCTCTTTTTGAGCAAATAAAGCATAAGTGATAACCTACAGAATGAACAAGCAATTCAAAGTGAAGATACAGGTGAAAAGAAGAAACAAGTTGGTTCCTTAGATGTCCATCTTTAGCTGTACTCAGCATATGCTATTCTGAAACCAAAGAAATCAAATGCTCTTCTGAGGTTTTCCAAAAGAACTAGAAAAGTTTACAAAAATCTGTTAGAGTAACTATTAAATCTGAACTACTTTGCTATTCATTCTATAAACTCTATCCTTAAATTAGGATTAGGACTGAAGCAGACTAAAGATGAAGTAGAATGCTGATGATTTTTCCTCTTATGGGAATAAGCTAATTAAGCATAGTGAGAAAAACTGACATCAGTAGATGAAGCCAATTTTGTGTTTCAATGCCATATCAGGACAGTGCAATGCGCACTTCGGGTCATTTGCTAACTACGAAGAAGAGACAATTTGTTTAGGCCCTTGTCTAACACCTGGAAAGTGAGCTTTTAGTAGTTTGTTGACAATGCACCAGTCAGGAAAGTTAAGGCAAATCCACTAAAGCTTAAATCAATTTGCATAACTTAAAGTGTTAACAGTCCTTGCATTTGTTCTCATTTAGGATCAAAGTGAGATTTACTCCTACAGAGATCTTTTGATTACTGAATGAAAGTGTAAGGTAATTATGTAGATTTATCTCACACTACAAAATCTTCCTAAATATCTTCATGTAGACAAGACTACATTTATCTTATGCGTATGGCTACCCTTCCCATAATGCAATAGGATTCTAACTAAAACAGCATTTCAAAACTTAACCAAAACTAAAAAGCATTTACTAATTAAATCGATTATAATAGTGAAGATCAGGAGACTGATTTTTTCTTGTTTTGTGGTTTGTTTCTTTTTTTTTTCGTACCTTCTGTACAACACCTCGTATTCTTGTTCTTAGGTAGAACTACCATTACTTTCAAGTTCTGAAAGAACTTTCAGCCAAAAAAAGTCACCAGTGTAGCACTAGCAAGCCATTGGATTTCTGCAGGCATTAAGTGATTGGGCCTATTTACATACAAGATATTTAGAAAGAAATCAGAAATTTAAAGTTAGTTATTTAAACTTAATATTTCTTGACTTTTCCCCTCTATCATTTACAATCATACTACTTTTTATATATAATTAAATATTCTAAAAAAAGATATCTTCATTAGCATATCTCACAAGACTGAAATAGACAGTCACCACATTCAGCTGAAACTGACTTCTCAGGATATACATAAGACATTTTAACTAATTTAACTTTCAATAGAAACAAATTTCCAAATCCTGATTTTGATTACAAACATCTTGCCATCATTTTAGACATAGTTAGCTTCTTTATTTGCATATGCTACTAGTTTTATATTTTTCTATTCTCCCTTTCCCTGTGTTTTAAGATCTTCAGGACAAAGAACTACTTTTTATTCAGGGCTGTTAGTACAGATGCCTTCAACCTTGATTGAAGGAGCAGACGGAACATGATGAAGACATCTGCCACAAAATGTGGCACACTGAACCAGCACTAGGTCACACAGAACTTGTAAGGCTGTGAAAACAGCCTCAGGTGTATTTTGACATTTCCTGGTTATACAGCAGCAACAGAGCTTTTCTTCTGCTACAGAAGCCTGTATACCCCATATAGAGTTTGTTAACATGATGATCAACTACATCTGGAAGTGTGACTGAAACTTGAGAGAAACAAAGTTAATTAACTAAGCTAATTAAATCCCTTTGAGAAATCTTTAATATCTAACCTAGTTTGGGTCTAAGGTGAGAGATCCAAGGAAGTGCAATGCAAGCAAAGTAACAGTAAGATACCTGTTAATAGTACTAAAAAAAAAAAAAAAAAAGCACATTCCTTATTTCCAACCTTCTCAAAACATACTGTTATACCTACAAATACACAGTATGAAAATGTGTTAGCTTCTCTCCCTTCTCAACAATGTAGGTGGTTGTTATGTTCAAACACTTGTCTGGAAGTACTAAATAATCTGAGTCATCCAAATCCCAATTGTACTCTGATTCCCTAAAACTTCATTTCTTTCTATGTCACCTTCAGTTGCCTCCTAGATCAGGAGAAAACAAATGGCAATAATGTGATGTTCAAAATAAAAGAGGACTTAGAGCTTTTGAAAAGTCTATTTGAAACACTTATTTACTAGGTGTCTTTTCTAGACTTTATGATCCATTTTTCCTATCTCAAAGGTATGTGAAGAGAAAGGATGATCTAGGAGCAGACTTAATG